AAATATTAAAAAAATAATAAAAATAGAATATTAATAAAAAATAGATTTGCTAATTTTATTTTATTTTATTACTTGACTAACCAAATTATTTTTTTACAATATATATTTAAAAAATAAATCATACAACCATAATAAATAAACTGCAAGCAATGAACTTATTGAAAAAGAAGAGAGAGCAACTTTATTCATTATCAAAGATCAATAATAGGTATTCAAGTAGTAAAACTGTTTATGTATAAAGTTTTTGTAATGTTTTTATTCCAAATATTAAATAAACAAATACATACTTATTTGATTACTGAATAAATAAATAAATAAATAAGAATAAAAGCTATAAATCTTAATTTAATAAATTAATATGCTATATTTAACTTTGTTTTATGCAACAAAACCTCCGGAAATTAAACATCTAGCGTTTAGAAATTTTGTGTACGTATATGCTACTGTAACAGCCAATTATATTCGGTTCTTTCTGTATGTAAATTAAGGGCACAAAGGAATGCAGATTGGGGATCTCCACTTAAACTCTTTCGCTGAAGATAAATCAAATTTCTTTTTTTTTCCTATTTAATCATGCAGAAACAGGCAAAGTGGGGTAGGTGATTTTGCGTAATCTTCATCCATTGTCATTGATACTAACATATTGTGCGTACGCTTGTTAATTAGATATTTCCGCCACTAATATTTCAAATTTTGGTTCGAAATTTGAGAAAGAAGCCCATTATCAGGCTGGAGCCAGAGAGCAGGCATGGGCCAATCCTGGTACAAAAGTTGGAAAAGAAGCGTAAGTATGTATTTATATGTAAGATCATGTGATTTGAGGTACCGTACTCTAAATGTATTATCAGTGGTCTCTGGGTATGGCGCATCGAGAAGTTTGAGGTGAAACCATGGCCAAAAGAAAAATATGGAAAATTCTATTCAGGTGAGAAGAAATTTTTGACGAAACGATTGATATTTATTTTAAAAAGTTCTTTTTCTTTAAAAAAAAAATTTAGGCGACAGCTATATCGTTCTTCACGTAAGCTTAATATAATAAATGCATAAGATTCTTGCACTATTTTGAAAGCTCATTGGTTTCGTTTCGTGTGTTTATGAACCAGTCTTATAAAAAGAATAAGGACAGTGAAGCTTTGGCACATGATATTCATTTTTGGCTTGGACTTGAAAGCAGTCAGGTAACTAACTCAATTGGGAATTATTTGGCGAAAGAATTTACTCGAACGATTTATAGATATTCTATCGCTTAAATTATAAAGGATGAAGTGGGAACTGCGGCATACAAGACAGTAGAATTAGATGATTGTATGTTATTTTCAAATTGCTGCATGTTCTGTATATTGGATCAATTTCATTTTTACCAATTCGTTTTTATGTAATCTAGTCCTGGGGACTTCTCCAGTACAACATCGCGAGGTAAAGTATTCGCAATTCAGGTTTACTCAACATTATTACACCTCATAATAAATAATTCCTGGGTAATAATTGTAGGTTCAAGGCTACGAATCAAAATTGTTCCTTTCATATTTTCAACACTTTCATGTTGAGAGCGGTGGTGTGTCTACTGGATTTAATCATCAAAACCCACATGAGTATCGCCCTCGTTTGCTTAAGGTCAAATTAATTGGACGAACAGTGGTGATCCGAGAAGTTCCAAAAGATTATACATCTTTGAATTCTGGAGATGTTTTTGTTTTAGATATTGGAAACACACTTTATCAATTGAACGGAAAGAATTCTCAGGGTGTCGAAAAAGTCAAAGCTGCAGAATTTGTTCAAGCTGTGGAAAGTGAAAGAAAAGGACTGGCTAAGACTATTGTCATTGGTGGGTTATCAGAAATTTTAGAAATTTATTTTTATTTGCATGTGGTCTTTAACCAGGTGGGATGTCGATTTTCTGTATAAAAGATGAAGGAGACAAAGAAATGCAAGAATTCTGGCGAGCGCTTGGAAGTAGTGGTCCAATCAACCCTGCTTCAGCGGACACTGGAGCCGATATGAACTTTCAAAAGAAATTATATAGGTAAATTTTCTATTTAAACCATATATTCCCTTCCACTAGTTGTCACTAACATTTTATTTATGATCAAATTTTAGAATTAGTGATTCTTCAGGCAACCTAAGCTTCAAAGAAGAAACCGGTGCTATCAACAAATCGCGCTTAGATACCAATGATGTTTTCATTTTCGATGCTGGTCACACAGGCTTGTATATTATTTTGTACCATGTTTGTTAAAATTATAAACGACCGTTATTTTGATTCGTCACAACCGAAATGAATTTAGTATTTGTATGGATTGGACTTAAATCGAATGTTGTCGAAAAGAAATATTCCCTGCAATATGCCCAGGTAAATAGGACTTTGTTAACAACCAAGAGATATAAAATCCAATATCTCAATTTATCTTAAAATTGTGCAGGATTATATTAAGAAACACGGCCGTCCGGAATACACACCCATCACTCGTGTCATGGAAGGTGGAGAAAATGAGGTATTCGTG